TGTGGGACAGAGTGCACCCACTGGCGCAGTCGTGAGTGCCAAGCCCCCCCACCCAGGAATGGAGGAAAGCACTGCAGCGGCAGCATGATGGAAAGCAAAAACTGCACTGAGGGACTGTGTGCGCGCAGTAAGTCACCTGAGCAAGGTGTTTGAGCTGGGGTGGTTAAATGTCAAAGGAAATTCAATATTGGGCTCCTATATATTTTTTGTTGTAATGTATTTTCCTTTAATACAGTTACACATCTGTTGAGCTGAGTTCAACTGTCTAATATCTAAAAGAAAAATGGTGTTTCTGTGGTATCTATAGGGGTCAGTTCTATAACAGCCCTCAATGCTTTGCTGCTTCAGGAGATAGTTGAAGTGATAACACGTCTTGCAGGCAGTGATTTCTTTGCTCATAGCTCACAGTTTTGTAAGGTTAACATTTCAAAGCTTTTTTGGAATAAAACTGTATTCCCAAGGTGTTTAGCCATTGTAGCATGGTGAGAGTGCGGATGATGTAGAGAGAGATGAAAGGAAAAACAGCTAAATCGCAGACAGATGTTTCATGAGGCAAAATTTAGGTTCACAAAGAGAGAAGGCAAGTGATCCACATCTAAAGAGCACAGATGGAGAGAGAGGAAGAGCGATAGAGCAAGTGCAGGCAAAGGGAGCGCATGGAGTGGGAAGCGAGCATGACACGGCCAAGTTGAAAAATTAGCACAGGGAAGAGCATATGAGAATGAGTCAGACTCACACTGACACCCAATGTGCAGCCCGTGATGAGCTGGGAGGAATCCTGCTGACAGCGCATTAGAATCTTAGAGACGCACATCCACAGAGGCAGTGAGACACATTCAAGCACACTCTTAAAAAAACCCACATACACACAAGTTCACAGACCAACACGCCCAAGCATGCAGACAAACCTTGTAAAATGCACATGCAACGGGGGGGGGGGGGAATCATATGCATCATTCCACTTCAACTCTATCAGACATACACGCGAGTTCTGACATAAACAGGCTTCCATGGAACAGCCAGATTAGACAAATACACTGTCTGATTTGGCTGTACAGAGTGGAGCGATCTCAGGGGGCTGTCAGGAAAACATGCACTCGAGTGGCTCTGGCAGAAGGGGGAAGATGGGAAGCACTGTGCTGTAGAAAATCTGTAAATAAGTCACTTGGCAAACTACAGGTTACTGATTTATTTTCCTAGCACATTAATGAGATTATTCTGCGGATACAAATTGTCCTGATGACATTATGGTTATTTGCGTTCCTTGCTTCAGACAGTCAAACAATAAAGGCTCACTATAATGTCTCACTCACTGTTAATCCCTTCGAGGATCAGCTAAATACCCCAGTCATAAATGTAAAATGCTTTGAGACACCACAAACCATCATCTACACTGCCTCCTAGTAGATTCTAATTGCTGTCGGATGAATGGGAAAGTCAGGGAATCCATTTGGTGCTTTGATGATGCTTGGGAGAGAAAGTTATTTTGTTTGAGATACAGTGAGTGGCACGATCCTGAAAGATTGTTTCGATATTCATCGGGCCACTCAGGGACGATTCACATTGGTGTTATCTTGGAAAATATTGTTCCCGTCAGGATAGAGATGGGTTTTTTTTTTTCATGGGATGGAGGTGATAACGTACCCTGTGGGGTGTGTAAAGAGACGGTTTTAATCTACATTGTTTCCATCATGTTCCACACACCAGCATCCTTGTTCATTTTCAAAACTGTCTTTAACTTTGCCACTCTCATCCAAATGATCATAATCTCTTTCACAGTCATTTTTATTCCTTGTACATTATGTAAACAATTATGCTGAACTTCATTCCACAGTACCACACATTCTCACACTTTTCTAGAAGAGGTCATTATTTCTTATATGTTTTCTTGCTTGCAGTATGCCTTTTATGTTTACATTTCTATTTTCATATTGATGAGCTATTGTTTACTTACCCGTTTCTGCTTTGTATTATGTTCTTGTATCTTTCATTTGCATAATGACTAGTCCATCCATTTTTATGTTGTTTTTTTCCTTTTCTTCTTCTCTTGTTTTTTCTCCTGTTCAAACAGATAAAAAGATTTCTATTGAACATGCAAGCCATCGTAAGTTCACCTTCCCATGACTTCACTCTTTCACTGCATCATACTGTTTGTGTTTGTACTGGACTGTGTGTGTGTGTGTGTGTGTGTGTGTCTGCCTGTGTGCACATACATATTAGGAGTCCTAACATCTGTGTTAGCAAGCGGAGCTGAATGCGTGCAGCGTTTTGTATTGAGCCCGTCTATCAACACTTCGTTGTCATCTCCGATCGAGTCCAGCAAAGACGCGCCTCACCTTCTTGTCCAGCCTGCTTATGAGTGTTGTTATCCCATCCTGTCTCATATGTTGACTAAGCGTAACATAGGTTTCTGAGCTGGCTCCATGGTAGCACATTGCATCATTTACATAACAGCTTGCTGCAACTGTAGATGTAGAAAACAGAAGATACAGTCACAACAAAGGGATTCGTAGATGTTGGTGTTAATTAAACAAGCTGTTCAAAAACTGGCTTTAACCCAATATGTTGGTGGGAAAAAAAATCTGCAAGCTGCTATGAAAGGAGCAAAATGACATGACTCTTAGCTGAGACTCTTTGATCCATAGGCTATGAGGTGGAAGCATAGCACTTTCTGGATAAAAACAGTTGATTTCTGTCTGACTTTCAGTTAATCTGTGATATAGTTTACATTTGAAGTGATGGTAATTCCTCTGGCTCAATGTGACGTGGGCTCAGGGGAGAGAAGCCACGGTAATGCACCTAATTCGCTATTGTTCCGTTTGTGGTAATAAGTGCGGACGGCTGTCGGATTCAGTTCCATCGTGCCACGTGAGCATGGGAGCTCTCCTCTGCCAGCCTGTCTGCCTCCGGCTTTCCTCTCCTCCACTCTTTCTTCTACTCTCACTGCTGCTCTGTAGTGTCTGTGGTTTCCTCCTAACTTGTTCCCCACTCTCTCCTGCTCTTTAACATGGGCCTTTTCCTCAAGCACAGCTATCCTTATCTTCTCTCTCCTCCTCACCACACTTATAATCCATCTGTCCTCTCAACAAATCACCACCTTATCTAACTCCTTCCTATCCCTTTTGCCAAATTGCCTCTCCCCCAGCTCCATCCTCCTCTGTTTATCCAGCCTGTCTGCTCCTTTTTTTTTGCTCTTCATTGTCTCCCACCAACATCGCTGCATGTCTTCTCCCCCTTTCTTGTGGTGTGACTGGCTCACGTGTCTGGGCTGGGTATGGATCTGCTAGTGTTGGGGAGTCAGGGTTAAAGCAGGCTGTGGTAGGCCTGATGACCAGTAACAACCAATCACCCAGCAGGAGAAAAGAGAGGGAGCCTAACGGGGAGCAGTTGAAGTTATGGCCAACCAACCTCCTTCCCAACCTCACTTCGATCCATTCTGACTTTTGTTTGTCTGATGTGCCCCCTGCAGGCTAGGAGGATCTGTTTATTAATGTTGCTTTCAAGGAGGATATGATGAAGCGTTAACTTTAAAGGAGAGGTTCACATCTTAAACCAACACTGAAAGAGTTATCTGTCACTGTGATCATTCATCTTGTCCATACTGGCTGTGAAGTTATCCCCTCCCTAACTTTTAAAATTGTATACCTCACTGTATCGATGTCATTGGCATCATTTTTATGTGAGGTAACACGATGAGTGAATATACATTAACCAAGAAAGTATATTAAATGTGGATCGGTCACATCATGGCTGATACCTGATCCACCTAATAAGGTCAGTATTGGCGCCAGTACCCATCCGGCATACAGTCTTTTTTAGTGCAAATGTGAACCTGTCCTTGAGGATTTCAATTTCAGCTGTGGCAGCCCAAGGGCTGCAACCACTGATTATTTTAATTATTGATTGATCTACTGATTAAATTTCAATTAATCGCGTAGTCTCTCAGAGCACACAGTGGTGTCTTCAAACTGGCAAAAATCCAAAGATACTGAATTTGCAATCGCATAAAAAAGAGAAACGCAGTAACTCACATGTTAGAAGTGGGAATAAGCAGGTGTTGATAAATGACTTAAAAGATTAATTGAAAATTGTTGTTGATGTTCTGATGATCCAGTAATCAATTAACCAGCTAATCCTTTTAACACTAACTTGTATTCTAAGTTAATCTGCTACAACAGGTATGTAGTCAGATGATATTTCTTAATTATATTTTCTTTCCTCTTGTGTTTCCCTTGCATTTGTATCTGTGTGTTTTCACATGTTTCTCCCTTTCAATGTCTTGACCGTCTGTCCTTCTGTCCCTCTTTCAGCCCTGGCCCCAGGTATGGGTGTAGCAGTCTACGCTGGTCTGGTGGGGGCCCTGCTGCTGTGTGTGATACTGGTGTTGTGCGTGGGAGTGCTCGCATATCGCCGCAGATGCCGCCATCTCCATGGAGACATCACCGATTCTTCGTCTGCTCTCACCGCCGCCTTCCACCCTGGCAACTACAAGCCTCCCAGACAGGGTATGTTCACACACACACATCTATCAGTACACATTCATACACAATTTGTGTTTATTTTTCACAACTTTTCTTGTTTTCGCTTGTCTTGTTGAAGCACTTCCTCACAATTCATTTCATTATCACACTGCTATTTATATCATCAATTATAAATAGCATAATATAATTTAATTATTATTAAATTAATTCTCTTTATACCATTATCTCCTCTCGCTTAGTCAATTCTCCATTCTTTACTGCATTACATTTTTTACACTTTAAGCATTTGTCATGGTATCCCTTCTCTTGTACTTTCCATCAAATATTAATTAGCAACATTAATCCATTTCACTCGCATCAATTTTAGCACTCTCAAGCCTGCCTGTGTCGTTTCTGGTGATAAGAGAACAGTTCCTCTCTTCTCCCATGTCTACAGATAACCCTCACCCTCTGCATCCCTCAGCTCCTCCGGATCTGACAGCCACAGCGGGGGCTTTCCGTGGGCCTCTCTTCTCTCTGCAGCAGGGAGTCAATGACAGCCCCCACAAGATCCCCATGACCACCTCTCCCCTGCTGGACCCGTTGCCCAGTCTCAAAATCAAGGTGTATAATTCCTCCACTCTTTCGTCGCTGGAGCTCCCCGCGGACATCTGCTCAGACGGGGAGATCCTCAGCCTGAAGTCGGTGGGTACCGTGGGTAGAGAGCGAGACTACCACAGCCACACCCTTTCCAGAGAACCTGGGCTGAGCACCAGTGCCACCCTGGGTAATCTGGGAGGACGCCTTACCATCCCCAATACAGGTAACGTATATCGCATGCAGCTGGCTTTTCACATGCAAATGAAACCAGAATTCAGGATAAGACAAGATAAGTCATGATACCTTCTCCCCCGTAGGTGTGAGTCTGCTGGTCCCCCCTGGCACAATCCCCCAGGGGAAGTTCTATGAGATGTACCTCATTATCAACAAGTGGGACAAAACGACGTGAGTGCCCTCCATCTTTATTCCTCTATTTCACTCATCTGTTTCACAACCAAGGCAGAATAGACCTTATTCTCACCTCAATCAAAAGTTTTCCGACGCAAAGGCTCACCTACTGCGAACCACTTGAAGTTTATTTGCAAGTTCTATCACTTTTTCCAAGGATAAAAAATTGATCAACTTGTCTCAACTGCTACACTAAAATTGGACTGGATTAATTTCTTGCCAATTTTCTGGAAGTTTGATATTCAGTATGCCTCAAATACGTCAATACCAGCATGTACAAAACTGTGTCGTGGCCATGATGTTCTTTTATAAATCAAGTGTGATGTTTTGGCAACTGACTCCTGGCGTTCTCCCTGTGTGTGTGTGTGTGTGTGTGTGTGTGCGTGTGTGTGTATTTGACATTTACAGGCTACCCTCTGAGGGCAGTCAGACTGTACTTAGTCCTGTTGTGAGCTGTGGCCCGTCCGGTATGCTGCTGAATCGTCCTGTGGTTCTTACTTTGCCCCACTGTGCCCAGCTAGACACACCTACACCTGATTGGACCCTCACACTCAAGACACAGACACACCAGGGGGCATGGGAGGTGAGACAGCCTCTGACTGGTACCAGATAATGGCTTTCTTGTTGGCAGATGTGTCATCATCGAACCCTACTTCGATCTCTTTACAGGAGGTGCTGACAGTAGGAGAGGAGACTTTGTCGTCTCCGTGCTACCTGCAGCTGGAGGAGGAGTGTTGTCATGTTCTCATGGAACAGCTGGGAACGTACGGCCTGGTGGGCCAGTCGTGCCCCCCACAGCCAGCCTGCAAACGCCTGCAGCTGGCACTGTTCGCCCCCCGAGCACCCTGCCTCTCCCTGGACTACAGCCTCCGTATCTACTGCATCCACGACACCCCTCATGCACTCAAGGTGCTGCTCTTGTGTTTGTCACTTGACCTTTTATCTTTCAGACCTGTCAGTCTAGCAATATTATACTTATGGTGTGGATTAATAATTGCATTACTGGTAATTTAGTTAAAGCTGCAAAAGACAAGATTTTGTAAAATGAGACTATATACATCATGTCAGCTTTAGTTATAAAGTACAATACAAACATAGAGCTTGGTTTGGTCATAAACGACATACACATAACACACTTGTCCAAATAGTCCAAACATTATGATTACTGTATTCACTGATGGTTTTCATTAGGAATGTCATAACAACAAAGACTTATGTTTTACAAAAGACTATCTTTTAGCACAGATACACACAATTATTTTATAAGACATGGTGGTGGAGGTACCAAAATCCAAACCGCATCAGTTCAGTGTACATTACTGTACAGAGCAACGGTAGAATGAAATTAACTTACAATCATCATTACAAAACAAAATAATACATTTTTAAAATATTTAAAATAATGCTAAAAGAGCATTACTTAAGAGGAAACTTATATAATAAGTACACTCCAGGTGAAATTATATTTATCTGTTAGCTCATGACATATTCAGTCTTTTTTAATTTTGCGTCAGTTATTATTGTTTTATTTACTGTACACGTACATTACGATGTTTTGTGTCAGTGTATTGGGAAGACTAATATGAGTGTGTATATGTGTATGGTATCACCACGTCACCTCATAAACTGTGCGGACCCCAAGAAGAATAGTGACTATTATGCAGAAGCAAATGGGGATCTTAATAAACAAACAAACAAATAGTCACAAAAACAAAACAAAGGACACAGATTAAATTCATTATGAAATAATGAAATATGAAGCATGCCACGGAATAATAATATGTCTCATTTCCATCGTAGTCCGGTGCAATAGAGGAGTCCCATGCGCTCTAAACTGAGGCCCTGCAGATCCACACTACTGGCCCAAATCAAATTCTCGTATCACTTATTGAATCTTTCTTAGCCACCAGAAGGAAAGACTCAAAATAGTACAGCACAATACAAACACCCTGCTAAACAGCAAGTTGGACTCACTGATGTTAAATATTTTCCCTCTGTCTGTCCCTTTTGTATAAAGTGTTCACAGACCAGCCGGGGTAGTAAACATGAACGTGCTGTGTGCAGTTTACTGGCATCACATTACATAAGTTCTGGCTGCTCAAGTTCAAACAGCTTTCAAACTGTTAGCTCTCACACATTTCCATTTGGAGACACCAACTTAGAGAATGCACAGTGCATTTTAATTAAGGATTTTTGGAAAGCCTGTTTTGAAATTTGTTAGGATGATAAACCCATAATGAAATTGATCAAATAAATATGTCCCTAAGCCCATCTTCTCTCTGCCTCGGTGCAGGAGGTGCTGGATTTGGAGAGGAGTCTAGGTGGAGTTTTGCTGGAAGATCCCAAGCCGCTGTTCTTCAAAGACAGCTACCACAACCTGCGCCTGTCCATTCACGACATTCCTCACACGCACTGGAGAAGCAAACTACTGGCAAAGTATCAGGTGAGACACTCGAAATGCTGATGATACTCTATTACAGCCTGTTAATATGTGTAGTGTTTAAAACTGTCATCTACAGAGCACAAACCATGATCAGCCTGAATAATGCAGATTATTAAAACATAAGTCCTAACCAAAAACTGTGGTTTACCAAACTTTTGAGTTCATAGTCAAATGTCTATTTTCTCAGAAAACACAGCCAGTGGATTTCCTACTATTCGCTGCTGTTGTAAACATCCAAACCCTGTGCTGCATTCTCTTGGCGGCAGCACCGAGATTGCAGTCTGAACCCTCGCTGAATAAACAAACAGGAAATCTGATAGTGCTCCTAATTTATGGACAGTGCACTTTAGAAATAAATTGTCCTCTGATACCCAGTTGGTGGAAACACCCGATATCAAAATAAAGCATATTGCACTCTCCTTGAATGGAAACCGTGTTCTAGATCCTTCCTGATTGTGCTGCTCAGGACAAAGCCACTTTAATCACAGTGTAGAGTTTTTTTTCTTCCAGCTTTCCCTCTTAATATCATTTCATCATTAACAGGAGATCCCGTTCTATCACATCTGGAGCGGCAGTCAGAGACCCCTGCACTGCACCTTCAGCATGGAGAGAGGCAGCCTGGCTGTGTCACAGCTCACCTGTAAGATCTGTGTGCGACAGGTGGAAGGGGAGGGACAGATATTCCAGCTGCACACGGATATTCAGGAGGTAACGCTGACAATGGAAATAATGCTCGTGCAAACACAGATAAAGTTGCTATGAAAGCCATACAGCTATACCAAAAACATACAACAGTTGGCCTCAATGCTTCTCACCTTCTCTGTCAATCCAGACTCTACCACCGCACTCGCCCCTCCCCTCAGGAGGCACATGCCTGCCTTCCTCTCAAGTGGGACCCTATGCCTTTCGCTTGCCTGACTCCATCCGCCAGAAGATCTGTGCCAGTTTGGATGCGCCCAGTGCTCGAGGATGTGACTGGAGACTACTGGCACGCAGTCTGGGCTTTGACAGGTCAGATCTGCCTCCCATGTTTATGTGTGAAAGGAAGCTTTGGTCACGCTTTACCTGTAGAGTCCAGTGTTGATACTCAGGTTCCTACTGTCAAGTGATAACTCAGAATTGTGTAAAAGGTGTAGATGTAGATATTCACTGTCTGAGGTTAGATGTATGGGTTATGATTTAAAAAGGGGCTCAGTTTAGAGTTGGGTTTGAACAGAAGAAGTTAACAACTGTGAAAAACATTATATTTTGGTCGCCCTGATGTAAACAAACTTGAATATTAAGTTCAGGAATATGATTCAGCCATGCATTTCTTTCAGAAGATATTTTATCTTGCTAACTAGCTAATCCTGCTCTATGAATTATGATAGTTCGTTGGGCATCAATATTGGACTGTCAAGATAAATTGGTACCAGCAGTATTTTCATCATACAGTATTAATGACCTAAAGATGTTTGCAATCAGTAATGGAGTACATTTTTTCTTCTCTCCTTTTCTTCTTCCTACTTGCCTGGTCTTTCTTTCCTTTTAGGTACTTGAATTACTTTGCAACAAAGCCTAGCCCCACGGGTGTTCTACTGGACTTATGGGAAGCTTGTCACCAAGCTGACGCAGACCTGGTCTCTCTGGCGACCGCGCTGGAGGAGATGGGCAAAAGTGAGGTGCTAGTTGTCATGACAACAGATGGGGATTGTTGATTGGTCAAGGAAACGAGAGAGCAAGCAAGACATTTTTTTTCACCACCGTGATGAAAATAATGATACCTGCCTATGAATATGCACACCCTGGCACAAATCACAGATGCCCACAGAGCATTTTGGTTCCTTTATGTACTGTATTGCCTCTGCCTCGTCTTCATTTTCACTGCCCCCTGATCAGCCACTATAGCTACATACCCACAGTAACCCATTCCCATGCGGGCCATCCCATGATAACTGCTAACCTGATTCAGCTTGAATCCTCCAAAGCAATGTTTCATCTGCAAGATGTGAAACCAATTTGAGGCTACGAAGGCGTAAAATGGGTGTTAAGTCATCTGTCATATTCGGTGTTGACTGTCTTCTTCAATGATTGAAAATGACACTATTCTTGTATATAAATAAGACAGCTTTGGGACAAACAGAAGAAAAATCCATGTATTCACCACCCAAAGGCACGCACAATAACACAAAAACACAACGCTAACACGGGATTACCCATGTTACCGTAGCAGAATGAAGGTGCGTGATTTACCACCATCTCACCTCATGGCAGGGGCTTTTGTTTTCTCCATTGTCATTCTGTGTGTGCAGTGAATGACAGGCAGCACCGACCTGTCTGCAACCTCCTCAGGCTACAGACACACTCCAACACACACACACACACAGACTAACTGGTCATTAACCGGCTCGGAATCAGACAGGCTAGGATTTCTTGTCTAACTGCTTCGACTGTTGACAATTCACATGAGGACCACATGAGGAACCCTCAAGGTTTGAGGGCTTGAGCGTATCGCTTTGAGCTGAAAATAAAAGCTGCCTCTTCTTTGTCGTAGGAGGGCGAATTGTGAAGTTTGTTTAAGAATTGGCAGATAACTAGACTGACTGACTCTTTATATTGTACCAACAAATGCCTCAAAGCCTTGGCATATCATTCCAACTCACAGGGGTGTTTCTCTTTCATCTCTCCTCGCATTCCTCTATCGCTCCACCACACTCCTCCGATCTGTCGAGAACAAACTGCAGGAGAGCTCTCTGGTCATCCCTTAAAAGTTTCCTTTGGGGAACGCTCTTTAAGTTATTATCCATATTTGTGGATTGTTTTTTTTTCTTTTTTTTTTTCTTTGTAATTGCTGTTAACGATCATATAGAACCTGTTCTATCATCTGTGCTTCTTTAGGCTACTGAGCTGCTGTGTTTTATTTTTGATTCTAGCAGAGCGGGCCAAATGGGAGCACAGTGGATGTCTCAGTTGTGAATAACAAAACCATGTTTATTTGTTATTTTTAATACTGTGTATCTATTCAAAATGTAAAATATAATCTGTAAAACATGAGTAGAGATGGTCAGATGTCCAGGTGAATATACCATAGGCATTTTGCTTTGCTGTAACCAAGGGCAGTTTCCACTGTTCAGAATATTACAGAATATATAAGCCTTGCCTTGAATCAACTAGGCAGCAAGGGACCATAAAAATTACCTCAGCACTAACTGCATTATGTTTCAATCTATTCTCTGTCCACCACTTATCTATGTGTCCATCACCCTGTAACTCATCATTTCTCCTCTTTCATTTAACATATTGTTAACCTTTTTACTAAGCCGCCTGCTTTGTGGTCAGGGTCCTCAAGCTATTTTCGTTATCAATATTGTTTTGTCCATTATTGTTCGACGGAAATTGAAATGCTGTCATCTATAACATTGTCATTACTTAAGTTCTGTGTGTTATTGAGTCTTTTTCTCCCTCAAAGCAAAAAAAAAAGTGTTCATATCTTTGAAACCACAAAAACCAAAACACAGGCAGTATCCCTCCTCTTCAGCAGTGAGTCATGTCACTGTTTTGTGTGAATGAACTGAAAACACAAGTGTGTCTCTGTGTGTGTGTGTGTGTGTGTGAGAGAGTGTGTGTTGAATGAGTGGGTATGTGTGGGCAGGTGGGTGTGCACACGCAGTATGTGCACACACTTAAGATCTGTCATTTCTCTTTGTAAGTGCTATGCAAGTACAAAAGAAAAAGTGAAGCATTTTGACTTCTTTTGTTTCCTGGAAGAGTAATTCTATTTTTTCAGATCAGGGCATAGACAGGGTTTTGATTTTGTAACCTAAAGTGGTTTAAGAGTGGTTTAGCATTTTTGGTGATGGATCGGAAGAATTGGATCACCGACCAAGGAAGCTAGTACTGAAAAAGCACATGTGGAAGATCAAAAAAAAAAAAAAAGTATGGTGCAATGGCTACAAAACAAGTTGTGACTAACATCATGGACTCGTGCCCTGCAGGTCTTTACCCATGAGGAAATCTCTGAACATGACCAGTTCAGTACTTTGGATCCCTGAACACTGCAGGACTATTTTCTTTCCTCAAATCTTGTTACAGAGACTGGCTAGCTGTAGACTACAGTGTTTATTCGTCCAGATTTCTTGAGTGTGTGTTGGATCTTTGGCCATAGCTCTGGATCATTTATGCTGGAGCTGGACTGGATTCGCCTATGCTCCCATCAAAGAGAAGAATTAAGCATTTGTTCGAGACGACAGACATTTTTACGAAAAAAACAACAAAATGGATTCAGTGATATTATTTTATCTCTGTAAAGTACCAATTGTAAATAAACGTCTAGCCTTCTTACCTGTAACTAAATATAATTTTTATGCAATAAATTATATTTCTTAGTTTAACAACAGTGTGTGTGTGTGTGTGTGTGTGCTGTTATTGGATTAAAACTTGTTATTGCAAAACCAAACAATGTAGGAGCAGCTTGCATTGAATCCATTCTCCAAATTGCAGGCTTCTTTGGAGCTCCTTGGCAGGACAAAATCACTGTCAAATGGCATCTGTGTTTTTATCAATTACACCCCATTTTCACAGTAAATGCAGAGCTACACAGCCTGACCCTCTTTTTCTCACACCTCATTGGAAAATTCCCTTTAGGTCCATTTAGCTTCAAAAGCTTTTAACTGGCAGGCTGTCTAGCCTTCAAATTAACAAGGTTTGAGAGACACTAAAAGTGGCCTTTAAGGGTTGACTCTGGGCATTTAGATGGAGCATTCTAACCGTGGTTGTGCAGGATGTGTGGGGATTCGTCAGTTTAGGCTCTTACATCGAGAACAAATATCACAGTGAGTCATTTATGGTGAGTGTGCACTGCAGTATTCTGGCAGGCAACACTGCACCTGTTTCATTAGATGCCCTGCTAATTGAGGACTGATATGCCACCCTTCAGTGCACGAGTTAATTGAACCTTTTTAATACATAAAGTGGTGGTACAGTTAAAAGCTGATTGCAGCTTCAACCCAATCCCCTCACCTCTACACAGGATGTTGTTGTTACTTTTCAGTGAATAAATCAGTGAGAATAATATTATTCTATAATATATCATTATCACGCAGGCGTGCAAAACCTATTTTAAGGACATTCTGTATGTGATGCCAGTACATGCATACACATGGCTCACAGCATTTACAACACAAATAAATACGTGAGCATATGCACTGAGACATACAGTATCTAAGGTTTATATTACAAGCTATGTCCTGAAAACATACAAACCCATGCACCTTCCTAAAAAGAAAATGAGAAAGGCCTCATTGGCCTATTTGATTTTAGAAAAACAATGTTGTATATTAATTGTTCAGATTGGTCCTGCACAATTACATCTGTTGTTGTGAAGGGGGAAACAGCAGTTCAGCAGCTGTGAGTTGAATAGGCTCCACAGTTGGACAGTAATTCATTTGATAATGATTAGTTTAGTCCAGTGGTGTCTGCGCATGTGTCAAGTAGAGCCAAGAGTCTTGTTTTCACTCCATTAAGATAAACAAAATCACCTGCTTTGTGTTTGACTGTAGAGAGTAGACGTATTTCTTCTTACAGGAGCTTTAATTGTTTTCATATTCCAGAGAGGTGCAGCAACACTCAACTGGATATGCTGTCCTTTGGTGCCCTCTTCTGGTAAATGAGAAGGCTAACCCACACTTTTCAACAAAAGCCAGTATACAGTGTGCTACAATATAATAAATTGATTCTGGTTTAAATAAACAGGGAATATTTACAATATGTGGGACGTTTCATGTGCTTTTGTATTTCACTGTATTTCTTCAGAAAGAAAACAATAACAAGGGAAATTTGTAGATTCCTTTCCTATTAACAAAGTGGACTTTGTCCACTATAATATCAAAGCCACATAGCCACTAAGGAGTCTGTTGATGGTGTAGGATTTACCTGTGATAAATGCTATAAATAATATTTTATTGCACTTACTTACAATTTCTTATGCTAGTTTTATTATCGTTCATTGATCAGAGTGTTCATATGCCACAAACCACACTTTAGAGATAACAGATCAAAATCCAATGAAATTTCAGTACAGAATTCACAAAGGTTTCATATGCTACACCTTTTAGTATTTGAAAGTTCAATATTGGTGGCTTATAGAGTTTCTTAATGATGTAGGACTTTCTTTTATAGAATTTAAAGTTCAAGAAAACCCTCTGTAAAAGCTCGGTTTGACTATCAATGAAGTTTCTCTATCATTTAAATCTGTACATTTGAAAGTGGTAAATGTATTTTTTTATGTTTACCATCACATGCAAGTACACAGCTTTTTGATATCTTTCTTAATTTTGGAGCAGATCCCCATACTACTTACTATTTGTTTGTTTTGTTTTTAGTTTAGCGTTATTTCTGTTTGTTTGTTTTTCAAAAAGGACACATTGTAAGTTGGTAAAATTTGTTAAAAAAAAAAAAAAAAAAAATTAAGCTGTTTTTATACTTTTTACTTTTAAGATTTTATGTTTTAAATTAGGATCGAGTCTTTCGTACATTAATTACACTCTTATTGTGAACAATATACGCTTTTAATCAGTCAGGGTTAAATTTGCGTAGATAGTGATTTTATTCTGAAGGATCCATACCGGAAGTCGTGTTGTTGTTGTTGAAGCACAATGAAGAATATTTGTCAGCTGACCAGAAATGAGGTGGGCTATGAAATGGATTTCAGTGTCGGTGTAACACTTCTACAGAGACAGGAGCAGCAGCCAGTGAGTCTCTAACAATGAGTTAATGTCTGTATTTATGCTTAATGAAGTGTTAACCACGGGTCGAGTCAGTTAGCAACGTCTGTGTGTACTTTGTACAGGAAACCCGCTTTTAGTTAGTTAGCCTCTAATATTAGTTTACCTTATAGTCTGCAAACAGCGGTCTGCACCACACTAAACAAATACAACTTTACATGCCTGCTCGCATTAAAAAAACCGAATAAATCAGACGGAAACAGAATGAGCAGTATACTTTTGCATTGGGAAGTGACTAAACCGGTGGTGAATGTAGCTGTCTCAAGCATATTGTGCAGTGTATCTGAAGTGCTTGTAATCTCGCTTGTTCTTGGATCATGTGAAGACTTGTTCCTCATTAGTTGCACACATGATGCTGTAGGATGCAAGCTCAGCTTTGTTCTGCCGTGTCCGTCTTCCTTTAACCTCCTTAAATAGTTAGAGTAATAACCTCATATTGTGCAAGTGAGTGAAAGCCTATTCCTGTCAGTGGCAGGAATAGGACCAGAGGTTGCAGCTTTCTACCTCATGACTGTTCCTCCATGCGTCATGCATTACTTGTTTTTGACAGTGATGGTTGTGGTTTGCAGATTAAACTGTAGTGACTGCATCTTCAGTGAAATAGGTGTGGTAAATGAGGATGGGATGGGATGTGTGGGAACTGCCAAGCCGTCAATCCAGCTGTTTAATTTAAAGTGGCACATGGAGAAAAGGACATGCTCCATGTCGCATTCCACATCACCTGAATCATGATGAGTCGTCATTGTTTAATTGTGTACCTTTTGGTTCCCATTGAGGTGATGGTTCAGTGTGCTGAACATGAACAGAGTACAGCGTCTACATTTTGGAAAATACCTGTCAGTATGCCCAGAATTTAATTCTCAGAGTTAAATGTGACTCCTTGCTCTGCAGCATCACAGGATCTGAACAGTTGGACTGATCTCTACCAGATACAGCAACACTCTCCCCGACTATGGCTCTTCAACAAACACCGTCTGTATTTGCCTTTCTGGACAAGCACAAGTAAACGTAAGTGTCATCCAAACCCCATTACTTGCTATAACATTATTATTATGCAGTGACTTGTTTTTAAACTTGTGTTTTTCTACTTCTTCTTCTTCTTCTTCTCCACAGCTTTCTGCTCACCACTTCCTGTCTTACTGTTCTTCTATTGCCTCAACCTTCCCTTTCTTTTGTCTTCGCTTTTGTGAGCGTTGCTTATTCTGTCTGTGAAAATGGACGACACAGAGCCAGTGCAACCCAGCCTCAACTCCTCCTATATTCCCACTGGTCTTGGCAACCACCAAGTATCTGAGGATGAGGAGAGCGAGGACCCCTCTGCATCACTCTTACCCAAACATTCGTCAGTGCCTCTGGCCGTGCGCTACAGCCCAGAGGACTCTTATTGTTTGGTGTACATAATCTTCTTTCTGCTGGGCATTGGCTCCCTGCTGCCCTGGAACTTCTTCATAACAGCCAAACACTACTGGCTCTACAAACTGAGTAACAACACTGGTCGCAGCGGTAATGAGGAGCAACGTTCGGACCTCAGTGTGAGTGTGACGGATACTAAATACAACAGCGCTGTGTTTATTGTGCATGTGTGTACACAGGAAGATGCACATTTGTGCCATTCTCCATGCTTTTCACAGCACCGTGACAATCCCGTGACAGATGTGAGGACTGAGTGTCCTTTCACGTCTGACAGAGATCCCTTGCAACACAGTTATAGAATTAGTAATGCCATTAGGCTGTTGAGGGGAAACTAAGATAAAGGTAGAGATGGGTAGAGTCAAAGGGGTCAATGAGATCTGCTTCCAGGCTGTTGTAGACAAGACAATTAAATGCTCTGGATGAATTCTACTGACTGCTATGCTAAGATTAATGCTTGATTTGATTTGACGTAGAGGTCGTAGCAAAGATGAGGAAGTAAAGATGTGTATATTTCTCCCCTCTCCTTTCACTTCCTCTTATTTTGGGTGAGAGACTTATTTTAAGTATTTGAGTGTGTCTTCTCTTATTCAAGCAAATTGTTTTGTCCTTTCTGTAACCGTTCACAGGATTACTTTGAAAGTTATCTGGCCATTGCCTCCACGGTGCCCTCGGTGCTGTCTCTGATACTCAACTATCTCCTAGTCAACAGGTTGATTCCCCAAATATACACACACATACACACAGCACACTCCTCTCAGATTTTTGTCTTTGTTAAGAGTCTCATGCTGTTCACCATGATATAAAGTATATATAGCACATATAGTACAGTTTCACATGTTCTGTGAACTAATTGTTTGCCACATTTGTCTTATCTAGGTCTGTCATGTCTCTGTGACCTTAAATGATTTGTGTCTCTTTAAATTCCCTCTGGACTTTGATCTGTCTGTGCTGGACTGCGATAACATGGAGCATAGGGGATGTTTTGTCATTTTGAACAGCATCTCTGCAGCAGAGTACATTTTATATTTATTATTTGTGTGGATAATTAATAGCTTACTGCCTCACAAGTGTGTTGTACAAAGACTGTACTCATCAAACAAAACTGTACAAAACATCTGCTTCATTTCTGTTTTATGTCAACGGATCTTTGAGAAACTCCTGCCTAATCCCATCATCTGTGTGTGTGTGTGTGTGTGTGTGCGGTGTTGGTAGGTTGTCTTCCAGTGTGCGGATCCTGTCGTCTCTTTTTGTCATCCTGTTGGTGTTTGTGCTGACCACGGTGCTGGTGAAGATAGACGTGTCTGACAGCAGGGTGGAGTTCTTTATTGGCACGCTGGCCTGTGTGGCTGTCGTCAGCGGCGCCTCCAACCTCTTCTCTGGCAGCGTGTTCGGGATCAGTGGGCATTTCCCAATGAGGATTTCTCAGGCCCTTATATCAGGTACAGTCCTATCGGTCTTTGTAGCATTTATACGGTACCATCACACAGATAAACTTTGTGCTGTCTTGAAATCCATACATATACACTATTTAGCAGCTTCATTAAGGGTTTATTGACTAAATAACTTTGTGACTATAATATGTCAGCTTCCCCCTATAGAACAGATGGCGGACCTCATTTTGGAGCAACTTATTTACTTACTTATTAATGAATAAGCACTGATGTTGCTTAAAAAACGACTTCAGATCTCTAATGCCTTAAAGATGTGTTCACTGCATTGCTAGGTACTTTCATAGATACATTTTTCAGTTAATTCATGGGTTTAATTATTTACCTCATTAGCATAACTCGTTTTGTGCTGTGCAGAACAGGAATAAGCAGATATAGTTTATTTAGGAGTTTAGGAAGCTGACCAAATAATCATAACATTCTCCAGGTGAAGTCTGGGGACACTGTTGCATGTCGTCCCCCTCTCTCCCTAATTTCCTGTCAACTCTCTACTGTACTTTCTAAGAAAGGCAAAAAAGGAAGATGTATAGTTATATTTAATATATAGAGGTAGCAGGAAAACAGCCAGCTCAAGTGTCTCTTGTTGACTGACTGAGTACATAAACTGGTCCTTTTTTTGTCCTAGGCCAGGCTATGGGAGGCACATTGAGTGCAGTAGCATCAATAGCGGACCTGGCATTGGCGAAGGATGTGACAGACAGCGCTCTGGCCTACTTCCTGACAGCTGACATCTTCATCCTGCTCTGCATCATCACATATCTGCTGCTGCCCAAGCTGGCATATTCAAGGTCAGTATCAGTCAAAGATATTCTGGTTCCCATACAGAGACATACACTCTGTCAAATCTGTCAAACTCATATTTACAAGGTAGGCGACGATAACATCCTCCTTTGTACTGTAAAATGTGGAAACTATAGATGACACTATTATATATAGTTTAGCAGTGTGCATTATTATTATTGTTGTCATTCTTCATACTACCACCAGATGGTGCCAAAGTTAAATTACTTGTTGTAATTAATATTCTAAGCTTACCTGTGCCAGTTATTTTGTCTTTGCATTTAAAATTTGAGGCTACTGTTTGATTTGATGTCGCATTTAACACAGTCGGACTGATGCAATTAAGATTTTAGATGTACTTGTTATTCTAAAGCATGCTGTGTTCTGCTTGTCTTCTCTCTAGACACTACATGCTGGCAGCAACATGCACCAGTTCAGGAGTTATGAGCGAGGGGGGAGCAGCAGAGGGAGTCCCACCACTACAGCCTATCCTCAGGAAGACGTGGGTGCTCGGCTTGAGTGTCTTCTACGTCTTCTGCATCTCTATCATGGTGTTCCCTGCAGTATCCTCAGGGATCCAGTCTGTCCACAAAGACAGCGGCAGCCCCTGGACAACCACTTACTTTGTGCCCCTCACCAGCTTTTTCCTGTACAACGTGGCAGACTTTTGCGGCAGGCAGGCCACGGCATGGCTGCAGGTCCCTGGTCCCACCAGCCGAGTCTTGCCTGTACTGGTGCTATGTCGCACCATCATGGTGCCACTTTTCATGTTCTGTAACTACCAGCCGAGGGACCACCTCCACACTGTGCTTTTCACTCATGATTTGTACCCTGTGGTCTTTAACTGCCTGCTAGGCCTTACTAATGGCTACTTAGGCACGCTGCCAATGATCTATGGTCCTAAGGTGGTACCTCGGGAGCTGGCAGAGGCCACAGGAGTGGTCATGTCCTTCTTCCTCACTCTGGGACTGGCTGTTGGATCTGCTTTTTCAGTGCTTATTGTGCACTACATCTGACCAAGCAGTTACTAAGCAATAACTTTACATAACAATTTACAGTGGTATAATGGTATTCAACAGGCAGTAGCTGGGCAGTGACAAATACCAGAACTGTGACTGTGATACAAAGTGCATGCGACGTCAGTTGTTTACCATGAGGGAAAAGTGCTGATAAGCTTCTCATTTCCACTCTTCACCATAAAGCCATTATTCCTTCATACCTCACATTAATGTGTGTTATGTTTACACTGATGTGGCTCATGATGTGAACCTCAGGGCTCTGTCCGCCATGATTTGGTCTCTACATATTAGAGATCAGGAAGGTGCTTTCCAAGCAACATGAGCAATCTCTGTAATCAGGGACACTTGATCTAACAAAGCTTTTATTTTGGACACATTGATTTACTTTAAATTGGTAAAATACTGTGGTATATAATAAGTTATGCAGAGGGTGTTATTTTAGTTCAACTTTAATAAAAATATGCAGATGGTTGAGGGACACAGCTGGAAAACATGGCTAATTGTTGATGAACATGTGGCTGATTCGTATTTGCTCTGTAAACCTTGTAACTGAATTTGAACAGACTTTAAAAACTGACCATTTCCAGTAACATATTTTGGTCATCATATTCAAATGTGCACTTAGAAGTAAAGCCTTTGTCTGCTTGTTAAATAATTATACCATCTTTGCAACTTGGGCTCAAATACCCTTCTGTTCTCTTTACTTCTCAAAATACAAATAATGTACTAAATTACCGTTAACTTTTTTTATTTTATTTTTTTAAGTTCATTGTTGTACATTATCTGAAACAATGTTTGAGTCCTACCTAAGTTGATAGTGAGCTGGACTAAAGCAAATACCTCTTAGGAGAAATTAATGTAGACACTTATTGTAGTCCATTTGGAAAGTCAGGAACAACGTGCAGATTACAGACAGTTTTGTCCTACTATTATATATATATAAGTATTGTATATGTAAAGTTAAGCGTAGTATCAAGGAGTGTTCTTTAAATGACCCAGACATGACAGGTATACTTGTAAATTCAGTTTACAGCAAAAGAAAATAAATGGAACCAAGTGGATTGGGATCACTTTTAATTGTTAAAAATTTACAGATGAACCGACAGTTGGCTCAGGGTTTGAAGCAGACAACAATCGAATTTGAGATGTTCTGTACGTTAGAAACGCAGTGATTTACAAACAGTAGGAAGAGTGCAAACAATGGGAGGTACACTTAGAATACTTACCTCCATATCAGCTCCTTAAAATAACAACACAACATCTACAAAATATAAATTTTGTTTTAAGGATCAGACATACTGCTAAAAGTAATGCCAGTCATTCTTAACACACTGAGCTGTCTTCTCCTGCAGTCAGGAATCATATATAGCTTGGGCAGGGGGGAAATCAGAGGAGTAGAAATCTGATGCCATGTCAACATTACACATGTGAAACTTAAACACACCCAGCAAGCAATGTAAGCTAGTAAAAGCCAAATGCAAACCTGTGAATCCTGACAGTGAAGCTTCGTGATTTCTGCTCAGTGAAGCAGTAACAGGCTGAGCTATACATGTAATCACTCCTCCCCAACCCCCACTCGGAAAAAAAACATGTCCAGTCCCTTTCCACCATGACATCATTCAAAACATTAATTCAAACATAAATTGCAGTCATGTAAGTCCATTAAAAAAAGAAAGCAGGACAAAAATTAAAAGTGGGAAGCAGCACTACAGTATTTTTCTTTTTAAATTCCCTACAGGTCAGTTTGTGCTGGTTTGTTCCTCTTCCTCTATACCCACACATGGCGTTGGCAGTGAGCCACAGCCTAAAAGACAGAAACAACTGGTTAGACGAGCCACTCAAAGCAAACTTCTATGATAAAAAATAACTTTTAAAAACAATCAGTTGTGACATGCAATACATTTTAAACATTTAAAAATGAAACCCCCAAGAATCCCAGTCTGGGGACGGAGACGCACATTTGGGTGTCAAAATATGACTTGACTACTCACATTGCACCGAGCTGCTGTCTCCATGTTCTTGCACCAGAATGCAGGTCCCCAGCTGCACTGCTCTGTTCCCAGAAGCCTGCGGTTAGCTTCAGGGCAGGCTCCCACTTTCTGTTACAAACACACAAACACAGCTCAGATGATTAACAACCTATAACATTTAATGTCCATTGCCAACAATTTATGGAAAAAGATTTTTTTTGCCATAATGTCAAGAATCTTGTACATTCTTCAAGAATGTCCGGATTTTAATTGAGTAATCGAGTTTCCTGGTAGATAAAATGTTATTTAGTTCAGAATTGATCTAGTTTACCATGCACACAAAGTCTGGGTCCAGCATCTGGAGCAGCAGCTGGACAAGCACTGGCTCGTACTGTTCAATCATCTGGTCACACTGTTGAAAGACAGAGGGGTTATTGGAAGGCCGTCACATGAGGATAAAGTTACACATGGTAAGAGGATGCAACTCCTCACCTCTGTCTGGAAAGAATCTGGCAGGAAGCTGCACACTTTCCTCACAGCCTCCTCAATCTGTGCCTCTGTAGCATTCTTCTCCAGAAGCGCATCAATGTAAGTCACGGCCATCTTGCACACCTTGCAATAGCCACCGTCCTTAAAGCGAGTCTGGTCGAGGACAGCTGGAAAGAATTAAAACAGAAATCACTTATTACCATGAGGAAATACAGATGCACAACTTCTGCGGTCAACAAAGCTAACATTTGCCTTCAAATCGCTTTAAGGAGTGACAACTTACGGACATATGTGCGGCTGGCACCATTGCAGAGTGCCAACACTGTGCAGACGGTCTTGGGGTCAGCCTGCTGCACCAGCAGCTCAATGATGGCCTGGCCGTAGGTCTCAATCAGGTCCTTGCACTGGCCACTCAGAGACTGGGGCAGAAATGTGCACACTTTCTCCACAGCTTGAATCACCTCCTCCTGAAACAGACAAACAGATGAGCTTGGCTGCACAGAAATGTTGGCAGCAGTTTTGTAGATTTTCATGGCGATATTGGATACATCTAGCAGCACACATCCCACCTCTGTAGTCTGATCCTCCAACATAGACTCCAACTGTTTCATCACAAACTCACAGATGGCACAGGTTGGGGAATCACGCACACGCACCATTGGCTAGAACACAAAGGAAGCAAATCTCATGTGCATGTACAACACTGCAGTAAAACAGAATTTTATCTTGTATCAATATCAGTCACACGTGGATGACACCACGGCTTACCTTAGCAGACTTGTCAGTGGCAGACTCCACCTTAGTGGCAGGGAAAAGCTTGAGAGCGGGTACAGACTTGGCAGCAGGAACGGTCTTGGCAGGCTGCAGCTTCAGCATTGGAACGGACTTCTTCATAGCAGTACAGAAGCCAGCATGGACGCAGATATCCTTGGGTTGCTGAGGACCAAAACAGACAATTATTTCAAGATCCAAAGCCAAAGGTCTACAGAACTTGTCACATTGCATACGGTTAGCATAAACCACGTGCTTCCAATTTGCATATCATTCCAAAGCCTTACCACCCATGCAATATGCAAGTTTTTATGATATATATATAAAAAATAAAAATAAAGACATCCAACACATTCTTCTTTTACCAGTTCCAAACACACCAACACACACCCATTCTGGCAAATGTTTACTTCTGCAGCTCTGACTCTTAAGTGCATCCAACAAAACCAGCTAGTGTTAAATAAAGAACAGCCATATACAGCACAATAAAGATGGTGCTTTTCTGATGAGACAGCCACTTCAATGTTAGTAAAAACCAGTGAATCTCCAAGTTGACTTGTTTATGCAAACAAAGTCACAAGATCCCAGCATACTTTTAATATGAGAGGACGATATGCTCGTTTGATCTCAAGAAATAGGAGAGAATCTTAATGTGGCCCTTTGCTGTAGTGTTCCAACAGGCACAAGCCGAGTGTTCGGGTTAAGTAAATATTCTCACTCATAGTTAAATAATCATTTACATGAGTCTCTACAGTGTCAGGTGAGTAGTGCTAGGAGTGGACAGCACAAGAAGCAGAGCTAAGGGTTAAAGCTGAACACAGAAAGACCTACCTGTTCCTGCAGAGCAGCACACAAAACCCAGAGAGAAAACAGAGCAAGACAACATGAATGGAGGGGGAGAAACGTAACACAGACGAAAAAGACAACAGAAAGCAAGAAAAAAAATTAAAAAGACAGAAAGCGATTTAAAGATGTGAATAAATTGAAATCAGCAGGCCAGGTGGTGCTGCGGCAAGACTGGATATGGGCTTTAGCACCACCAAAACAGACAAATTATCATTAGTTTTGATGACCAGTTCATTATCGAATATTAGAATAATGTAACGACCATTCATGTTATAATGTGGCTTAAATATGCAAAAAAAAAAAAAAAGGTTTTCCTAAACTTCTTTTAAAATAAGTGTAGCACATGAATTCGGAAGCTTAGAACACTCACCATGGACATGAGCTGCTCAACAACAAGCACGCCATACTGGCCCACATACTCCTTGCACTGCAATGAGAAACAACACAGGTTAATATACAGCATTTTCAAAGGGGGAAAAACATTTGACAAAGAAAACTATGTACTCCACTCATATGAGATTCTCACCATTGCAGACAAGCTTGGCCCCAACAGGTCACACTGGTTCTCAATGTTTGCAATGAGAGAGTCGACAAATGAGGTGTTCTCCTTGGCTTCTGCTTGAGCGTCAGTAAGGAACTTGATGCAGTCTTGGCACACAGCATCACCTTCCTACAGGAAAGGCGAGATTCAGAGCAAAATAAGGATGATATTCATCAACAACAGGTGGAGAACATATTGCCATTTGTGCAGTTGGAAGAGCGTACCTGTTTTGGAGTCTCTTGTTTGGGGGCCTCCTGCTTGGCGTTCTCCTGAGGATAGAGGAGCCCGGGCACATTGAGGAGGAAGGGAGCCACTCGCTGGGAAAGGTCAATCTGAGGGATTTCATTGGACGTGAGCTGGTCCTGGGTATGAGCCTTAGCCAGGGCTGCCTGCTGAGACTGACACAGCCCCATGGCTCCGCACACCACAGCGGGATCCTCCTTAAAAAAAAACAAATAAGTAAATAAATAAAACAAACCACATAACTTAATAACACATTTTGTCACATTATAGTTAAACGTTAGCTGTAAGCAGAAGTAAATAGCAATCCCCTAGCTTTAAAGCCTAACAGAGAGCAGGTGACAGTTGAAACAAAGAAAACTACACCAAACGCTCCCAGTCACGAGGTTCAGCATTACACAACGACTACTCTGTTCCTGTTCGACGGGGACTCACTTCCCCATCAATAGCCCTTATTCAGTTCGCTGCACTTTGCTCACAGCCACTCGTTTTCCCTTTTTTTGACACTGAGATGCAGTTGGATCATTTACTTAAGAGTCTTAGACAGTGCCAACGACAAACCAAACTCCAATGAGCTTTAATAAGATCTTTGGCAAAGCCTGTTTACAGCTTATCTCAAAGCATCAAATATGGTTGTAAAATACAAACTGTGTAATGGCACCATTAAAAAGGCTAAACTAAAAACAGGCCAACATTTTGACAGACAGGTTGACGGTGCTCACCAGTTCTCCAGTAATGATTCCCATGAGGATGGGGTAGTAGCTATCTACCATCTCCTTGCACTCTGCGGTCAAACCTTGATCCGGGATGAGCTGGCAGGCCTTCTCCAGGTACCCAAGAACCTCAGCCTGCAATCACAGAAATAACCAGATATCAGTTTTCCAAAGGAGTGTTTAAGTCTTAAAATATATATATCAACACACAGGATTTCTCTTTATCTTACCTCAGTGGCATTGTCCTTCAGGATCTGCTCTACCACCATCAACACCTCTTTACACAAGTCACATGGCACGGTTTTCTGAAACAATAGGTTGTGTAAATAAAAAAAAACAATATTTTCCAAAGATTTCAAAGAAAGGCATGAGACTTAAGAGCACATGCCTTCTGTTGGTGATAGTTCAATGCTATTCTTAGAACAAGCAAAAAGGTATGAACGGCACTTGTCATTTTCCTAGAAAAATAAACAGTGTCTCACCATCTGGGGCTTGTTCCACACGTTCTGCTGGCAGTGAGTCACAGCTCCACACAGAGACGCCGTCTTTACATTCTGACACCAGTAGGGTGGGCCACGAGCGCACTGCTCAGTGCCGAGCAGAGGGGTTGCTACAGCTGCAAAGGAGACACATTTCAGGCATTTTAGAGATCTTTAAAGGAGGTAAGAAAGCAGACACATGACAAAACCATACTCCTGGATATAATGTTGTGGTTTAAAGAAGTAAATAATGCACAAAGCAGAGGTGGTCTTTAATCCTACAGATTAAATATGTCTTTCTTTAGGGAGTATTGGTAATGCTAGTCTTTTGTTATCAGGTGCTATGGCTTTACCACATCTAATGCCAGTGATGAGCAGATGGGGAAATTCACGGCTGACATACTTCCTCTAAACATTAACACAGGAGGAAGTTGATATTAACTTTTACTTAAAGAAACAACTGTCAGTTAGTTAAGGACAGGCTCAATCATCTCCACCTCCCTTAAACCAACCAAATGCAGTGGAGTCCTGTCACTGAGGAAGCCAAGAAAAATCAGTGGCCCTGCTCTATGAAGCTACAAACTGTTTCAAACACTGAGAATTGTAAATGTTCGTCACTTTTATAACTGCTAGAAAAAAGGAGAAAAGGAAAGTTAGCTCAAACTACTGTCTCAATAGGATATGCCTCTAAATCTGACATGATTTACCACCATCGACCACCAAAACCAACCTGTCAATACCAGACTGAGCAACAGACCATGAAGAAACACCCTGGGAAGGATTTATTATTTACATATCCACCAGTTTCCGGACACTGGTATACGGGTTATATGGTAAAAATATAACCTTTTGGGTACATGCAAAAAAAAGTTACTGTTCACAGTTCTCCATTTTATGCGGTTTCATTTTGAATAAAAAATGTGATGTGGGAAAGAACCTAATAGTTTTGGGCTTTGTTTCCTGTTTTCTCTACCACTCCCTTAAACCCTGCTTGAATAAAATAAAAATAAAAGATATAGATCATTAATTCCGAAAATCTATATTTGGAACTATGACTAAAATGTCGAATAGTAAACAGAAGCAAATGTAAACAAAAACTGTTTACTCAGAAGATAAACTGAGTCAGTGTGCCAGAGTCCAGTGGGTAGTCTTAATGGTAACCATCATGAATTGGCAATACAGGTCAGGCCGCACCGATGGACCTTCAAAAACCACAGTTACACTGGCGGTTAAACCCCCCCTGCTCACAGTTCATCCTAATAGTGTTACAGTGCAGGCAGGGCACTCCCACCCTCCACTTGAGTCACATGAGCAGACAAAATAACAAGCTGTTCCCAAGTTGACAGACTGTGTCGATGAGAAGGACATCTCTGCATAAAACTTCATTATACATTAAACAGTTTACAGCCAACTATGCAAAACACGGCAGCAGGAAAACAAGTTATCTGACAAAGAATACAATGTTTTTACAAGAAGTCAGCAGAAAAAAAAAAAAAAAAAAGATATCTACTGGAATATACCTGACTCACTTTCTGAGAGTGACTCTGAAACAGAAAACTCATCATAATGTGAGTGAATCAACATCACATGACCCAGTGAAGCGCAAAAGGCTTTAAATAGGATTCAGATTGCATTGTTCAACAGCAGCAAGTAACCTACGAGACATTTTCCGTGTAGAAACCTACGCGTCAGCTTAACCCAGCAGAAAGAAAAGTATACATGAGCTCATGACATCCACCATTTAGGAATGTCTGCAAGCAAGCACATGCAAGAATGTGAGAGTGCAAAGACAACATATAACATTATTATTTAACCAGAAGTCAGACTGATGATAAGCACTAAAACACACAAAGCACAAATACCACGACTTGAAGAAACCAATATTGCCAGTAGATTGCAAGAAACCACAGCTTGTGCTTTGATAAAAAGTATTTAAAAAAACAGACATCCATATTTCAAATGCCACAAGGCCAAGCCAAGAATGTGTAATTGTATTAATAGCCTAGTTGTCTACAGGTTGTGCTTGGCTTCAATGCAGCAACAACTTCACTGACCCAGTTTCTGCACACAAAGATAAACTAGCTGGGCCATTAGGGATTAAAAGTGTACATTAACTACAGGTATCAGTTCAAGGAAATTTCCAGACGGAACAAAAAAAACAGAACAGACAGTCGAAAAGCTGAAATGAAAACAGGATTTTATCTAAACTTCCTCATAAAACCAAACCAGGGGTCAACAAAGAAGCAAAGTACAGTAGCTCCATTAGCTGATCAGAGCACATTCAAAAAACAACACACCCGTTTCCATGAGCAAACACCACACGAATGAGCTTTATGGCGATGTTCAGACATATCTACAAGACCAAATAAAGCTTATTTTAATCGTAATTGCAGGTTTTCGTTGTTGTTGTTGTTGTAATTTCCAGCTAACGTAGCTACCTCGCGTTAGCTGGCAGGCTAACTAACGCGAGCGGGCCAACAACAACAACAACAACGCCTTTAAATTAAACCTCAAAGGCAAAAACAGCCGAGACTCACGTAACACGCAGTATTCACAGCTTCAATCTGTAGAAAATCAACCAGTTAAAACGTGAATCGTGTGTTTGTCCCCATTAAAACAACATCAAGTACAAACCAGTACACTTCCGCGTTGTTAATGTTGAAACGCACTTTGTTACACAACCAAACATCCTTTATTCCCGGTCGACATTCATCCCAATCCCAATCCCAATCCCAACACAGACAACGTATAAAACACCACTCGTGTGTTCCCTGCGTGTTCACATTACCTGCGGACACGAAGAGTAGAGTTAGAAGCAGCATGACTCCGCAGTTTGTGTCTCGGTGTTGGTTGAATTAGACTGAATGCTGCAATGCAGAGTGGGGGGGGTGTGATGCCTTTATGATGTCTCAGTGTCAGCTGACTGCACATGTGACTGCCTCGGTCTGTCTGATGAGATCATTTAAGTATTGATCATGAGTCTTTACAAAACGTGTTTGAAAGACATTTTGATTCAAACTATTTCTGGTTAACAAGGGTTGCAAAATCTGAAAAATACTTAAATGGGAGTTGGTTGCGTTACAGTTGCAGAGCAACACATTATACGATGTAGAAATAATATGTGCATTCAATTAATATATATAAAACAGCAATATATATAGGAAATATTACAGTATATAACAAGATAATGGGGCGCTCCCCTTTGCATGTCCACGTGTGCATGACATGTGCATTTCAGCCTGTGTGTATGTGTGTATATAAAAAAAAAAAGTGAAAAAAACAATTTCCCCCTAGGGGATC